TGCCGATGGCAGCGGCAGCATTCTCTATCCTAGAGCCGGGTGAAGCAGCTCGTAACAATGCAGCAAGAGCTTTCGCATCTGCGTAAAGACTTCTCGGATCATCGACGGGTGGGCGGCCGATATCTATCCTACGATGCTGGGCCCGCGGCATCACAGCTCATGTGCGCACAGCCCATCCGCCTGGCCATGCAACAGAGAGAGAGAATTAGAATGCTGCAGACAGGTGCATGTGTTGAAGGGCTTGTGAATCCAATGTATGGAACTGCTTTCGACCAAGAGCCTCTCCAGGAGGGAGCATTGTCAGTTCGACCTGCAATGACCTGCAATCTGGAATTTATTCCAATCTGCTCTGCGTTGCTTCACTTTCGGGATCTGAGCTGAGGACGTTCCTGACGAGGCCGGCGAAGAATCCGCGTGCGAATCCGCCATGGAGCCACCCTCCCCGCCTGCACTTTTCCCAAGAGGTGTAGATAGGGGGAAACGAGGCTGCTGGTAAGTTCCAGCCTTCTTCCCTGCTTGCCCAATGAAAATCGTGGAAGGCGACCATGCCGGCCGTCAACAGTGATGGCCTTCTCCAGTCGAACAAATGTTTGGCCTGGCAGGACTCCTAGGAAGATCCCCTGACATGTGCACTCGCTTGCCAGCCTGAAGGGTGATGCCCTCCCAGGCGCCATAGCCGTCGCGCTCCACGAAGTTCCAGTCCTGAGAAAGCCAAGCTGACATGAGGCTCGGACTGTCGCGCTTGTCGCGCCTCTTCGCGATGGAGCTTGATGGGTGCCGTGGGCTCTCCGGGGTGCCGGATGATTGGCGACGTTGGCTGCCATGCGTCCTGACATCAGCAGACAAGCAAGGGTTTCCTGATTGTGCTCACCTGCTGCTACTATTCCACAGAAGCTTGATCCCTGCCTCGGGGCGTTGTGGTGGCTCATCCGGCTCAGCCTCGCAAGCTTTCTCAGCAGCTTGGCAAGAATCTGTTTCACAAGCTGTTTCAAACAACGGCCTGCTGCGGCCGGCACAAGCCAGGCGGCGGCCCCAGACACACCTGCGCGGCTATTGCACGTGCTCCTAGACTACTAGACTTCCCACCTCCAAAAGAGTTCAAGCTGCCGGACACGAGTTACAGACCGTAACAACCTCCATTGAAGTGTGCATGCTGCCTCTGTGAGGTCAGGTGGCGGACGGAAGGCCGCCGGCGCAAATAGGCCCGGAGGAAACCCCAGCTCCACCTTCGCATGCACTCGAATGCTGCGAACATCGGTTTGACAGAAAGGTCCTAGGCCCTAGGCATTCCCTGCCTGTGACAGAGGCAAAGGGCTGGCCGGCGCCTCCAAGGCTTCAGCAGCAAGGTCTTCCCACACAGGCTGTTGCTCTCAACTGCCGTGCATAAGCAATGCCAGCCTCAATATCTGGCTCGTGCGCACAAAAGGCAAGCGGCAGGTCCAAACCCGCCTTCCATC